GATTGTTTTTCCAGCTTCAAATTTGACGGAGTTATGAATTTTTGAAAAAAGGTCTATTTTAGAGGTTTTTCCGGATTTTCTCTGTAAAAAATGAACTGATCGGGTCGCACAAAAAACCATTTTATAGGTTTTTTTATTCTCTACAAAAGCCCTATTGAGAGTAAGACGATTCCATCACTGTTTTTCAAGATATTATAAAAAAAAACAAAAAAATTTCATTTTTTGCAGTTTTTATTGTTTAAAAAAAAATTGTTCAAGACTTTGCCTGGGGAAATCACTTGGTTTTTCAATTACTAAGTATTTTTCAAAAGGTAATACATGAAATTTGCTGCAAAAAATCTCTATTGGCTGGCCTATCAGCCTCACGTTTTTTATATTATATTATTTATGTATTAACATTACTTATATCTGTTAGTTTTTGTTTTACAGTATTTTACTTCGACTGTGAATTAATTTTGAGAGATTTCTCAGCTCTGAAGATGTTGAAAAACAAGCCAACAAAACATCATTTGCGAGAAGTGTCCCTTTTCCTGTTTAATTCAAAGTGTTGCTGAAAGTCATCGAATGCTATTGGAATCTTACGGTGAACATACTTCATCGATAAAAAAGTGTGAATATTGGTTTCGACATTTTAGAAGTGTCGATTTTAACACAGTTGACAAAGAACGCCTTGGTCAACCGAAAAAGTTCGAAGATGAGGAATTGGAAGCATTATATGACCAAGATTCATGTCAAACGCAACAGGAACTTGCTGAATCGTTGAATGTTGGTGGCACAACAGTTTCTAAACGTTTAAATGGATTCAACAGCAAGAAAATTTTGTGCCATACGAATTGAAGCTGAGACATTAAACGGTGATTTTTCACGTATGAACAATTTTTTTTTTTTTAAAAAAACACATAAAACACACCACAGAAATGAGACAACCCCCAAATCCAAAGCCAAAGGCTTGTGCGGATGGGGGCTACACTTGAAAAAATGCGGACAAACACCCATTATCCATCGACATTGCCAGTGCCGACACCGGGGATCGAACCCGGACCAGAGTAGGAAGCCTAGCCGAGAAATGCTTGCCACCGCACTCTCGACCGACTGCGCTACCGTGGCGATCAATTGCTTCAACAAACAGAAAAGTTTTTTGCATTGATAATACTAAGCACAGAAAATCGTAGGATTTGCCTAGTCACACATCAACATTGACAGCAAGGCCGAATATTCGTGGTTCGAAGCTCATGTATTTGGTGAGACGATTTGTGTTGTGTACAATGAGCTGCTTCAACCGAAGATAACCATCGCTGATGAATGCTACCAAACAACGCATGCACTGAAGGAAAAACGGTCGTAATTCAAACTGGCACAATAAAGCAATTTTTCAACATGACAATGCTCAACCACGTTGCTCATAAGTCAAAAAATACTCAGAAATGCTGAAATGGGATGTTTCACCCCATCCGCCATATTCACCAGATATTGCTCCATCGGATTACTATTTGTTCCGATGCATAGAACATGGTCTGGCTAAGCAGCGTTTTCAATCTTACGAAGATACGAAAAATTGGATCGATTGGTGGATAGCATCAAAAGACGAGTTGTTCTGGTGACGTGGAATTCGTATGCTGCCAGAAAGATGGGAAAAAGTACTGGCTAGCAATGGAAAATACTTTGAAAAATAATAATGTACGCAGTTTTTCACAATAAAACCTTGAATTTACAAAAAAATCCCTCAAAATTAATTCACAGTCCTAGTAATTTATTTATTGTTTTATTATGCTATATTTTGCTATTATTGTTGTTTTTTTTTCCATTTTTTACTATGTTTACTTTATTGCAATTCCCTATTACTTTTTTCTTTTAAGTAAATAATTACCTTAATATCGGGACTGGTTCCCCTTACTTGAGATAAATGAATAAATAAAATTAAAAAACGCGAAACGTTTTATAATTTTTGAAATTGAAAATTTTCATTATTCTCAAACATTTTCGTCAAAATGTTGGATATTCTCCAAATTTCCCCAAAATGCTCTTAAATGCTCCATATTTTTCAATATTTACAAAATCAACATTTAAAAAATAGTTATTAAAATGCAAAACATTGCTCGGGAAACACAAAATTTGAGAAAATCCACAAAACGTTCAGAAAAAGTTCCCGCCTACTACTCTAAATTATACACTTACTTATAATGACTCTTACACCTCTCGGAATTCACGAAAAGCTTCCCGCACGCCGAACACTGCTGTTGTCTGGCCTTTTCGTGGACTTCCTTCACGTGCAGGTTAACCTTGTACTTGTGCTTGAACGACTTCGGACATTTGTCGCAAATATGCCGAGACGGTAATTCGTGCAATGCGGTGATGTGCATTTTCAGCGATCTGGCCCCCTTTAAAGCCTTGCCACAAAATTCGCAGATTTTCATGAGGCTCTCTTCGTGTTCGGATGTATGGTCGTTGTATTCAGCTTTGGTGCGAAAAGTTTTACCACAGAACGGGCACGCCAAGGTGTGCGTTTCCATGTGCAGCTCGTATTTCTCACCGTCGCGAAATCTGAAAAGGTCATATTTCTTAGTTTTCAATCGGCCGTAATATGGAAACACATTATTTGCTAAAATGGTATTACCATTTTTAACCTGCTAGTATTTTATCTGCAAATCAAAGTGCCAAATGTTAATAATACATTCTATCAAAAAAGCATCCAGAATTTGTCAATAAAACACAATATATTCCGTCATCAAAATTTATTTTGCCTCCTTCAAAATGGGCTGTATTTGAAGCAATACACTTTTTGGCCAGTCGTCAAAACACTTTTAAACGCATATTCTGGTAAGGACTTAAGTTTTTTCAACAATTATTGTTATATGGCTTCAACTCAAAATGTGTTCCACGAATTGATAATTTAAGTTTGGAAAAGAGGAAAAAAGTCAACAGGGGCCACATCTGGTAAATATAGTGGCTGCTCGATGACATTCGTTAAGTTTTTGGTCAAAAATTCATTTACAATGATCGGTTTGTGTGATGATGCATTATCGTGGTGCAAAATCCATAATTGTCCTTCCATAAATCTGGTTTTTTGCGGCACATAATGTCTCTCAAATGCCTCATAACATCCAGATAATATTCTTTGTTGACCGTTTCTCCATCTGGAAGAAATTCTGTGCGAACAACGCCATGATAGTCGAAGAAAACAGTCAAAATGACTTTGATTTTTGATCGACTTTGACACAGTTTTTTTAGTTTCGGCTCATTAGAAAAGCACCATTCTGAAGTTTGTTGGCTGGTTTACATGTTAAACTCTTAAGCATGTCTTCGGCAACATGTGTGATGCTCTTTTTCGAAGAGCTCTGTTGGAACCAGCCGTGGAGTGACACGTTTCATACAACAAACATCAACTAAAATGGTGCAAAGTGAATCGTAAGATATGTTTCATTCATATGCCAGCTCTCTCAAACTACAATCACGGTTTGCAAGCACCATTTCCTTCACTTTTTTGATGTTTTCTTCAGTTAAAGACGTTGGAGGAAGACCGGAACGTGGCAAATCATCAACCACTTCTCAACCATGTTTCAATGCTTTCTACCATTCGTATGCTTGAGTTTTCGATAAAACTGAATTACCATACGTCTTTCCCTACACTTTCAATGATTCACCACAAGAAATTCCGTTGGTAGCACAAAAATTTAGGTAAACTTTTTCTTCAATAACATTATCCATAGTAAAAATTGTGAAACACACTTTACGTGGACTCACAAAATTACCGGCTATCAGCTGTAAACAAACTACTTAATAGATCGCGCAAAAAACTTCGCGTCAGAGTAGAGTACAGTGCTACCAACTTTCCATCTAAAAGAAATTTAAATCTATTTTAAGCGGACTATTTAAATGACAAATTCCGGATACTTATTTGACAGAATGTATATTGTTCACCGGCGTGAATTTATTTTTTTTTATTAAATCGATGCTTAGAACAAAATCTAAATCTAATCTAAATCATTATATAAATTAAACGTCGTTAATATTTTCACATCTGCAAAATGCATGTTCTTAAAATCAAGTAGGTATATACGGATATGATCATAATAAATATCTTTTACATTCATCGATTGAAGTGTTTCAACAACTTGCTAAAATTAGCAACAATGACTTGTAGTACTTGCAAATATTAGAAAAAAAATACATACTAAGTCAACTTACTTTAGACAGCAAATGGAACACACAAAGACACACTTATCTCCCGGAGTGTCATCAATTTCAGTGTTTACAGCACCAGAAGCCTCAGGAGAGTCAGATATTTCCAATATAATATCCTCTGTTGAATTATCTTGTAATAATGAGTGTTCTTGCAAAGACATGGAAAAACTATTGCTAGTTTCGTACATCTCTTGCCTGCTTATTAAAAGATCTAGATTAGAATTATTTTCAATTTCACTGCCGTGATGGTTAACTGATATAGATCTATCGCAAATTTGCAGAGATGGTAACCCATGCATCGTGATCATGTGCGTTTTAAGCGATCTGGCCCCCTTTAATGTCTTCCCGCAAAGTTCGCAGATTTTGATCATGCTCTCTTTGTGTTGGGGAATATGGTTATGATATTCCGTTTCCGTGGAAAAAGTTTGAGCACAAAAAGGGCACGGCAGAATATGGGTTTTCAAGTGCAGTTCGTATTCCTCATCACTGTTGAACCTGAAAATGTTGATCTGCTTAATATTTGAGGTCAAATAAAAATTTACCTACTTATTACAAAGTCAACTTACTTTAAAGGGCAAATGGAGCATTCAAAGTTAGCCTCTTTTCTACCATCATTGATTTCGACTTTTACAGCATCAGTTTCTGAAGCTTCGGGAGAACCAGATATTTCCAATATAATATTCTCTACAGAATTACTTTTAAGTAGTAACGATGGTTGTCCAAATAGGACTTGTAAAGATGAGGCAATACTATTACTAGATTCATTCTCATTATTTATATCCTTTTCATTTTCATCATCATCATCAACAGAATCAGCAATTTCTTGTTTCATGTAATAATTATGATCGGAATCAATTTGTTCAAGCATATCCTCTATTTCTTCAATTTCGATTTTAACTTCTTCCATATCCAATCCTAGAAACTCATTTTTAAATATTTATTTCCTTATTAAATAGCTTAATACCTTCTAGCGGAATGTCGAAAGGCTTTTTGTTATGAGCAAGAATCATCTCGACAGTTAAACATGTTTTAATAAATTTCACACATATTTTTAATGTCCTCAAACACTTTCTACACACCACATCATCATCATCAATCGTTAAAACCTGGAATGAAACAAATTATTCCCTGGCATTATAAGAAATGTATATTTACCATTTCAGGCACTAGACGCAATATAGCTTGCTTGATAGATTGTTCCAAATAACATCTGCTTTCAATGTCCACACAATCATTTTTATCAGAAAGTCTTAAACATGTTCTGCACTTTATCAGTTCCATAATTCAACAAATATATTTTAAAACTATGTATAATTACAAAACACAATACAATTATAACCTATCCAAAACTACAAAACATAACCAAGGTACAAAGAAAAAAGGAAATATCCCTCTTCTTCTTTCGTTGGTTGTCTGCTGGCCCGTATGACCAGAGACAATGGTATGAATTATGATGATAGTTATCTTTCTCATGATTCACTCGCGAAAAAAACGAATGGGGCGACATCTATTATATTAATGTAAAATCACTCTAACAGAGAGAGAGATACGCACAGCTCTCTGAACGGCAGATTGCATATCTTAAAAATTGCCCTCATGAACATAAGAATATGCATTCCTTTCCAGTGTGAATAGATATAGTTCATTGTGTTTGGATAGTATCTATCTCTCCTGCGCAGGCACGTAATTGGCTAACGCAACTTCTTCCTCAAGGATTAGAGAGCGAGAGAGCTACTAACCAAACTAGTGCCTCTTTCTCTCTACAGTCTACAGCGTTGTTTACACTATAACTAGCGGTGCTTCCTCTGTGTAGTGTTATGGTCTAATTGGTCAATAAACGATAATCCACGATTCCGTCGGCTGTAATTAGCTTTTCGGTAGAATTTCAGTAAAACGCACTAGATACTTTTGTTATGAAGTGTTGGCAACCTGCTAGGGAAACAGTGAACTGTTTTCAAATGTGCGGCCCGCCAATTTATCTATGTTCTATGGTGTCATTCCGCTAGTGTTTGTCTTTATCGCATCGCCATTTTGCAGTTTGGTGTTTACGTTTCCAGTCTAGGGTGTTTGTGAATAGTCTTTGGAATTTTGTGGCCCAAATTTAAATTTTCAAAGCTGATACTCATATCGAACTCTGAAATTTAATTGTAAAGGTGAAAAAATAATCCCTAACATGATAAAGTGCAGAACTTGTCTAGAAGATGCAGACGAATGTACTAGCGTAAATATCGCTAAAGAAAGTACCTTAGGACGAACTATTAGGGATATACTACTCCTTTTTATTCCAGGAATGGTAGCAGCATAACAATAGTTTTTTTTTTAATTTTGAAAATGTTATATTTGTAGGTCACATCATCAGTTGGTGAACTTATTTGCTGTAAATGCACCAGGCGAATACGAAACTTTACAAATTTTATAGAAAAATGCCTGACTGTTGAAAAATTGCTAGTAGAGGAAAAAACGAAAACTCTAAATCAAAATACAAAAGAACAAACCTTGATTAGCACTGGTGCGCCGCATGTTAATAATAATCTTTTAGGTAACGTCGGTAGCACACCACTCAGTTTTGTCTATATAAGTGTACCCCAAGTTAAGCAAAATGGGGCCCAAAATGGTGTGCCAAATCTGCAACCCATTCAAATTCAACCCATACCTATTAATGTAAGTTATAATTTATTAAATTATGTGTAACAATATTTATCGAGTTATTGTAGATCCTATTACAACCAACCAACAATTCTACAATTAATCTTGGAAATAACATGATGCCCGTTAGACAGATCGGCAGTCAAAATGCTTCCCAAAGTCAACTTATTATAGTTCCAGAAATAAAGGTATTTTGGGATATTACTTCCAGCCGTTATGTTAACTTTTTGATAATTACAGAAGCCAGTTAGTACCAGTGTGGTCCCACAACCTCAAGTAACAGTTAACAACCATTCCACTGCAACCAATGAAACGACATTAGATCATTTGACCAATTCGAAAAATGTAAAATTTATTTCAAGTACGAAAGTATATAATTCATTGATATTTTTTATTCAGCAGGTCAATTTGGAAGGGTCAACTGTAGGAAACAGAATTTGTAGGAATTGTGGAGATGTATTTACATCAAATGACTGGAATACAGTAGAGTGCTCAAAATGTGCTGGTAGTGAGAAAGAGATAGAGCTTAATTTATCAGGTATGCACTTTTTATGTTACCCTTAATAATGTACATATAATTATGAAAAAAATCTTGCAGACGTACTGCCTAACGGTTTTGACAGTGACGATGAAGGTAACGACATGGAAATGGTAACCGAAAAAGATTCTGTCAGTCTCATAAAAGATGCAAAAAGGGTGACAACAAGTGACGTATTTAAGAACCTCAGAGGTGAGTTCCGCGATACGATTATAAGCGTCCGTCAACCATCGGAGCAAATCGAAGAGTTCTTAGGAGACTACTCGAAGAGCAATATTAACTTAATCGAGTACGGCCCGTACAGTCGTACCGGGTATAAAAGAATTATTCTCTTGGGTAACTCATCGTCTCAGTGTTCAGAATGCAAGGACCTGTTAAAGAATCCGAAACTGCTGATGATACATTTCCAAAAAGCCCACACTATACAGGAACTACAAAGTGACCAAGAGGATGAGGATGAAGATCACAAGAAAATATTCCAATGTCCCTTTTGTGACACTAAGACGATTACCGGCCTGTTGTTGGTAGAACACTTGCGTCAAATGCACAAGATCGAAAAACCCTTCAAGTGCGAAAAATGTGGCAAGGAATTTAAAAAGCGGGAGGTGTTTTTGGAACACTTTAAGAAATATGAGAAGAGCTCCGATTGTTCATTCAGGAAATGCCGATTCTGCGACGAGATGTGAGTAAAGCTCTTTTAATAATTCAGGCTGTAACTTTAAATGGAAGTCATATTTATTTAGAGACATGCATCTTTCTTGATTCGTATACATTACAAAATTTGGTTATTAAGTTTTAAGACTTATTTTATTGTGGCAAAGAGAGTGGCGCTATCTATGCGCAGCCAACAGAACTGCGTAGTGGGAAACCTTCCGAGCGACAACAAAGTTTCATTGGTATACGTGTATCTATCACGAAATTATAATGTTTTTCATGAAGCGAATTTTTGATAGTTGTTATGAAAACGCACATTGAACAGTGAACAACAACCAAATTCTGCTTTCAAGCCGATTAAACAGCCATGGAAATGTATCAACTGTTGCAAACGGCATATGGTGAGTGTGTATCACATCCGATTGTGTTCGTGTGGTTCGGGATGGCCGGGAGGTTGTGGTATCTGCGTTACAGTCTGATCGTCGGTCAACTATTAATGTTGGCAGACCGTGTACAGTTGATCGATAATTAGATTATAGTGCAGAGCGCACAGGTTCAATGTTTTATTTCATCCCGCTTGCGCGGGGACGGGAGATTTTTTTTAGTTGCTTAGAAGGCTTCTCACTACGTAGTTCTGTTAAACGCACATAGATAGCATCACACACTTGGCCACAATAAAATCAGTTGTAAAACGATAGCCGGACTGTGTATGTAAATGCTTTTTCATAATGTCACACAGAAATTTAACAGTGAAGACAAATATATCTTACGGTCACTAAACATTGAAATAAATAGCTTTATAAGGCTATACACTTATGCTACACCAATATGTTTCACTAAATACTACTTTAAATCTTATTTATGTTAAAAACCAAAAGCGTTGCGAGAGTACAAATTCTTTTTATGAAAGCGCTGAGAGCGTCAACGATGATGCGCGTAAACTGGCTAGATACAGAACTCGAGCTAGTGCGGAATGACTAGTATCGAGGTTTGATGCCGCAGTCAACGCGGCCGGCGAGGCATCTTCACAGCGTATGGTCTTTCATATTGGTTACATTTTTGTAAACATGTATATGTAGAACTAGCTTTTTCAACACATGTGCTTGTTGGGCCCTTGACACGGCTTTTATAAGTACGGGGTTCATTTATCTCGATCTGATGCTATCGAAGTCTATAGACTGTCATTTTTAGGTTGAATCATTGACTAACAGTCATTATACATCTGTACACATTACTTCGAGAGTTCGCAGAATCGACGGTTACTTAGGCCCATAGCCAATATCACACACTTTCCCCCTCTATATATCTGAAACTATCCATAGGATCATTTTGGGCCCGTGACAATTTTTAATCAGAATGTCGAGAACTATAACATATCACAATTCCAGCCAAATCTAGCGGGACCCAATTTTCAATTTTGTGTGGGGTCCTTTATTATTGCTTGAATCTGATGAAAAGTATTATTCTTTCTTCTAACTGCTCAGAATGTCAAAGTTGCTATCGCAGCTCACTATGTAATTTTAAAAAGCATTATAATCGAATATCGAAGTGTGTTCTCAGTTCGTTTTTTAAGTTTTACTCGAAAATCAGGCTTTTTTCAAAAAACATAAGAGAGTAGTAATTTGTTACCGTAAAGCAGTGACTTACTATTTTATTTAGAAAAATACGCCACTGATACCAGGTATTTCCGTCACTGGAGCTATAAATTTTAGGAAAAGCCCTCAGATTTTGGACGGTATTTACATAAATACATGGGCCCAATTTCAAATTATTTCACTTACTACTTTTTAAATTATTTAAAAAAATTAAAAATGTTTTTTGAAGGTTGAACACCCTGTCTCTTTTTAATGAAGCGTCCTAGATAAAAAATTTTTTTTCGGATTCTTTTTTACCTAGTCACAATGTTAATAGTTCTTCGCCCACATTGCCCTCTGTTGGCTCCAATACTCTTTGTGTTTTTGAGGTTACCGAAGATGACATAATAAATGCAATTAAGAGAATGAAGGGTAATTTTACAATGGGGCCTGATTTAATTCTTGCATTTTTAATAAAAGACTGTNAATTAGATTATAGTGCAGAGCGCACAGGTTCAATGTTTTATTTCATCCCGCTTGCGCGGGGACGGGAGATTTTTTTTAGTTGCTTAGAAGGCTTCTCACTACGTAGTTCTGTTAAACGCACATAGATAGCATCACACACTTCGCCACAATAAAATCAGTTTTAAAACGATAGCCGGACTGTGTATGTAAATGCTTTTTCATAATGTTACACAGAAATTTAACAGTGAAAACAAATATATCTTGCGGTCACTAAACATTGAAATAAATAGCTTTATAAGGCTATACACTTATGCTATACCAATATGTTTCACTAAATACTACTTTAAATTTTAGTATAAAATCAAACTTACGCAACATGTGCTCTATGAATTCTATTTCCATTGCAGAAAAACATACTTTATGTAGAAAGTCACAAAATTACCTACACCTCGTAAAACTAAATTAAAATCATTGCAATAAAATGAAGCGTTTGGTCTTTCTTGTTTCGCCGAATTAATGTTGACTATTTCTTTTTTTTTGCCCCTGTACCGCTTTATTGACATATCAAATTAGTTGCACAGCCAACTTACTTATTCCATTGGTGTAAACAATGATCAAGCACATGTGGCTGTGAATCTATTAGTCAAAATGCCAATTCCCGCCAAAGACAGCCTTTCGTACAGAACTGGACATATCATAATAGTTTTTATTTTGTACGTAGTATTCCCAGTTTAATTTTGTTGTTGCTTTTTGTTGTTTTGTCATACAAAATCAATCAATTAATTTTATATGATTGATTTATATATATATATATATATATACAGGGTGATTCACAAATGGTCACCAAAAATAAAACCTCGTATTCTTTGGTGAATTTTCCTATAAAGTTTTTATCTAGGACGCTTGGTTAAAAAGATACAGGGTGTTAAACTTCAAAAAATATTTTTAAAAAACTAGTAAGCGAAAGAATTTGAAATTGGGCACATGTATTTATGTAAACATTGTGCAAAATCTACGTGCTAAAATGTAAATGCTCCAGTGGCGAAGATACAGGGTATCGGTGATATATTTTTCTAAATAAAATAATACGCTACTGCTTTACGGTAACAACCAAGTATTTTCAGATTTATCTTTCAATTTTCTACAAATTACTACTCTCTTATGTTTTTCGAAAAAAGCCTGATTTTCGAGTAAATCTTAAAAAACCAACTGAAAAAACTTTTACTTAAATGACATGACAAACATTAATCATTTGGTAATTTATTCAAATAATGAAATTAATAACATTAGTCATCATTTTAATGATTTTATTTGAGTACATGCTCAACAATACCTCCATTTCCACGAACACAGGCCCACATCTTTTTAGTAACGAAAATGTAATGTGTTAAAAAGGATCATGCACAAAATGAATGGAAATTGGGTCCTGCTAGATTTGGCTGGAATTGTGATATGTTACAGTTCTCGACATTTTGATCAAAAGTTGTCACAGGCCCACAGTGATCCTATGGATAGTTTCAGAGATATAGAGGGGGGTAGTGTGTGATATTGGCTATGGGCCTAAGTAACTCAGGATTCTCGGACTCTCAAAGTAATGTGTTTAGATGTATAATGACTGTCAGTCAATGATTCAACCTAAAAATGACGGTCTATAGACTTCGATAACATTAGATCGAGATAAATGAAGTCCATACTTATAAAAGTCGTGTCAATGGCCCAACAAGCACATGTGTAGAAAAAGTTAGTTTTACATATACATGTTTGCAAAAATATAACCAATATGAAAGACCATACACTGTCAAGATGAATGAAGAATTGCGTAATTATAGAGGGGCGCCTGTCAGGACCTTTCTAATTACATGATTTTAGACTACCTGTCTTCTTCTACGGCCTTCTGGAAAGTCCTGGGTTGACATTCTCAGCTGGCTCTCCATAGGTCGTCTCTAAGAATGTTATTTTCTTTATTATTATTTTTTTTCTATAATATTTGGGGTGTCGGTATGACTCTTTTCTTTTTATTTTATTTTATTCTTTTTATTTGTTGTTATTTTGTTTTTGTTTTGTTTCTATTCTTTTTGCACCTCTCTTTTGATTTTTATTTGCTTATCTTTCTTTTTTGTTTGTTTATTATTTTTTCAAGGTAGGAATCGGGAAGTGGAGTAGTCGCTTTGAAATTAAAAATCTTATTTATGTTAAAAACCAAAAGCGTTGCGAGAGTACGAATTCTTTTTATGAAAGCGCTGAGAGCGTCAGCGATGATGCTCGTAGACTGGCTAGATACGGAACTCGAGCTAGTGCGGAATGACTAGTATCGAGGTTTGATGCCGTAGTCAACGCGGCCGGCGAGGCATCTTCACAGCGTATGGTCTTTCATATTGGTTACATTTTTGTAAACATGTATATGTAGAACTAACTTTTTCAACACATGTTTTTGTTGGGCCCTTGACACGGCTTTTATAAGTACGGGGTTCATTTATCTCGATCTGATGCTATCGAAGTCTATAGACTTTATAGATTTTAGGTTGAATCATTAACTAACAGTCATTCGAGAGTTCGCAGAATCGACGGTTACTTAGGCCCATAGCCAATATCACACACTTTCCCCCTCTATATATCTGAAACTATCCATATGATCATTTTGGGCCCGTGACAATTTTTAATCAGAATGTCGAGAACTATAACATATCACAATTCCAGCCAAATCTAGTGGGACCCAATTTCCATTTTTGTGCGGGGTCCTTTATTATTGCTTGGATCTGATGAAAAGCATTATTCTTTCTTCTAACTGCTCAGAATGTCAAAGTTGCTATCGCAGCTCACTATGTAATTTTAAAAAGCATTATAATCGAATATCGAAGTGTGTTCTCAGTTCATTTTTTGTTTTACTCGAAAATCAGGCTTTTTTCAAAAAACATAAGAGAGTAGTAATTTGTTACCGTAAAGCAGTGACTTACTATTTTATTTAGAAAAATACGCCACTGATACCAGGTATTTCCGTCACTGGAGCTATAAATTTTAGGAAAAGCCCTCAGATTTTGGACGGTATTTACATAAATACATGGGCCCAATTTCAAATTATTTCACTTACTACTTTTTAAATTATTTAAAAAAATTAAAAATGTTTTTTGAAGGTTGAACACCCTGTCTCTTTTTAATGAAACGTCCTAGATAAAAAAAATTTTTTCGGATTCTTTTTTACCTAGTCACAATGTTAATAGTTCTTCGCCCACATTGCCCTCTGTTGGCTCCAATACTCTTTGTGTTTTTGAGGTTACCGAAGATGACATAATAAATGCAATTAAGAGAATGAAGGGTAATTTTACAATGGGGCCTGATTTAATTCTTGCATTTTTAATAAAAGACTGTAAAACAATTTTTGCAAAACCTTTAAAAATCATATTTAATTCTATAATTAAGTATAAAGAATATCCACAAGTATGGAAAGAGTCGCGAATATGCCCCGTTTATAAAAAAGGGACTAAAAACGACATAACTAATTATCGGCCCATAGCTATTATAAGTAACTTTTCAAAAATTCTAGAAATTATCTTACACAATCGACTTTATTTTCATATTGAAAAATCTATATCTCCGTACCAACATGGATTTATGAGTGGTCGTTCAACTACCTCAAATCTAGTTGAGAAAACCCAATTTATTGCTGAAGCTTTGGATGCAGGAAGTCAGGTTGATGTTGTGTATACCGACTTTTCTAAAGCTTTCGATCGGCTTGATCACAATTTATTAACTTTGAAATTGGAGTCTTATGGTATATCTCCTGCTCTATTAACTCTGTTTAAATCCTATTTTAGTAATAGGTACCAATTTGTGCAGTATCGAGGCTTTCAATCATGTAAATTCCATCAATCTTCAGGAGTTCCGCAAGGGTCAATTCTGGGACCACTGTTATTTATTATTTTTATTAATGACTTAACTGAATGCCTCGATGTCAACTATTTACTATATGCGGACGACCTGAAGTTATTCTTGGAAGTTAAATCATCTACTGACTGTACTACATTACAAGATAATCTTGACAGATTACACAATTGGTGTTCATGTAATAATCTACCTCTGAATGTAAGTAAATGTAAATTTATGACTTACAGTCGACGCAAAACTAATCTAGATTTTGATTATAAAATTGGTGAATCTTTTTTAAATAGAGTTACGCAATTTACTGACCTTGGTGTTACTTTCGATACCAGATTATCGTTTGACGACCACATTAGTTTAGTAACCAAATCTGCTTATAGGAATTTAGGCTTTATTTTGCGTAATTCTAAGGACTTTCAGAACGTAAAGATTCTAAATATATTGTATGCAGCATTTGTGCGTTGCAAACTTGAATATGCATCGGTTGTTTGGAGTCCCATTTATAATATCTATAATATTCATTTAGAGAAAGTACAACGGAGATTTTTAAAGACTATTCATTTTATTAGTTATGGATTTTATCCTCCTCGTGGTACACCTCAAGATTTATTGCTTTCTTGTTTTAATTTTAATAGTCTCTGTCGTAGGCGAATTATGTTTTCAATTATATTCCTTTTTAAAATCATAAATAACACGTTAAATGCAGACTCGTTAGTCTCAAGGATTTTATATCATGTTCCTAGACTTAATTCTAGATTTCACTCCGTTTTACAATTACCCACACCTCGTACCAACTTACTAATAGCATCTCCCCTATATCAAATGATTTCCAATTACCAGAAGTATGAAGATCGACTTGATATATTTTTTCATTGTATGAATGACATAAAAAAATTGTTTGTCTAGTAAATGTAATCCTTATCTTGTATATGTTTGTTAGCTTATTTGTTTTATCTGTCTGTTATTGTTTATCCTTAAGTTTTTTGTCTGGATTTTATATTTTGATTGCTCTATGTTATGTAGTATTTATATTTTTATATTTAATGTTAGTTTGTCTTTTTCTTTTAAAATTTAGTTAAGGTTTTCTGTTTTACCTTATCCTATAATTGGGACTTTGTCCCGTTGGATATTGTAATTTCTAAATAAATAAATAAATAAATAAATAAATAAAAACTTTATAGAAAATACTCCCCTTAAAATTCACCAAAGAATACGCGGTTTCATTTTTGGTCACCATTTGTGAATCACCCTGTATAACTACTGGCAACATACAACTCGGGTGCTAACAGTGTGGAAACAAGAAATATAGCTAGTAATAGTCGGATAAGTTAACAGTTCTTGCTAAACCACTGCTGCAAGAATCAAATGTGGTTGATATTTACTCGGTTTTGTCGCCTGAGGTCAGAAAATCGTTAATACAAAGAAAATACGTTAAAATTGCCAAGTAGTTGGTCACTGACGATTACTAGTACTTTAGTAGTGAATAAAAAATGTTTAAAATCAGGAATTTAAATAAAATACACATTTTTTGTTAACGCAAATACCCCATTACTGTTACAAATTCCAGGCTAAACAAAGAGGGGATGAGAAAACATTTGAAATACCATCGAAGCATCGTGTGTGACCAGTGTGGAAGAAGTTTCGTAAGCATTCATACATTTAAGTTGCACTATGCTAACCATCAGGGTGAGGACGAAAACAAAAGCAAAACGGAACAGACCCATCTATGCCCTACTTGTGGTTCGTATTCGATCCAAATTTGTTAACCATAAATAATGAAACGTAGGGTTGAAGTTTATTTCATATTTTATTTCTAGGCAAGTTACTTTCAAATCGTCAGACTTGGAGAGCACACGTAGCAATTCACGGACAACGTGCCAGGAACTACATATGTCACATGTGCCCAAAAACGTTTTTAACGTCGCACTCCTTGAAAATTCACATCTCTTCCTCTCACGTGGAGAAAAACATTATTTGCTCCATATGCGGCATCAAAGTAAGGACCAACTCGGCACTGGTTAACCATTACAAGTAAGTACCATTCGCTACAAAAATGAAGACTTAAAAAATGTTCTGTTCCACGTTCATTCTTTCCTGCCTGTTGCAGTTTGAAACATTCCGACGATTACGCACACAAGTGCAACATCTGCGGGAAAGGCTTCAGTCGAAGCGATTACTACAGGCGTCATATGAATAAGCACGCGGGTTCTAGCTCCATGGGACGCGCTTATGGAAAGAAAAAATACAACTATTCCGTAAAAATCGATCCTAGTGAGTACGATGATCGTGAAAATCCGTACAATTCTGATTTTTTCCCGTTTTCAGAGCCAGTGAAGTGTAAATATTGCTTGAAAGTGTTTAAAAATGTGTACCTGTTAAGAACCCATCTTATGAGCCACGTAAAGAGCATAAGATACAAATGCAAGTTTTGCAACATGACATTCGCCAATACCGGGACCAGATTCCGACATCAAAAAAGGCACGCGGACCCCAACTTTGATTTTAGGTGAGTAAAAGTTGGTGTTTTTTATTTTACATAAAACCGTCAAATATTTCTCTCGGCAATGGGGTTTTTAGCAGCTGCACGCTAACTATATTTATAAGGTCGTTCCCATAAATAAAATTCTGTTCTACACATAAAATTCTATAAAATAATCTATAAATAACTACCATATTATTTTTTAATGTAGATAAATCTATTAAGTTGGGAGATAGTCGAGGAAATGAAGCACTGAACCTCCGAAATCTGGGCAGTAAGATGGATCGTGATGCAATTTTTTTGCGTTCAATTCGTTTGAACGTCCAGAAAGTTTGTGAAATGAAAATTGCATTGGTGCATAAGAAAAATGCATTTTTAAAATTGCATATTGAAGAGTTAAAATATAAAAAAATTTATAACTCGGAAAATATTGTGGAAGTGAGTTCAATTTTGCTACTCGGTTGCCGCCGTGATATTCGTGTTCAGTCTTGTGTGTGTTCGTCCTCAAAAACACCGAGGTAACGAGTTTCGGCCAAGTTTATAACGAATTTCCACAAAACTCCAAGAGACGACGTGGAAATCGGCCACCCTAGGCACTAGATACCTCGGAGACCATTGCCGTCATGATATTTGTGTTCAGCAACCTCAAAAACCCCGAGATAACGAGTTTCGGCTAAGTTTATAATGAATTTCCATAAAATGCCAGAAGAGGACATGGAAACCGGCCACTCTGGGCATTAGGTACCTCGGAGACCGTTGCCGTCGTGATATTTGTGTTCAGCGACCTCAAAAACCCCAAGGTAAAAGTTTCGGCTAAGTTTATAACGAATTTCCACAAAACGCCAGGAGACGACATGGAAACCGGCTACCCTGGGCACTAGGTACCTCGGAGACCGTTGCCGTCGTGATATTCGTGTTCAACGACCTCAAAAACACCGAGCTAACGAGTTTCATCAAAGTTTATAATGAATTTCCATAAAACTCCAGGAGACGACGTGGAAACCGGCCACCCTGGGCATTAGATACCTCGGAGACCGTTGCCGTCGTGATATTCGTGTTCAGCGACCCCAAAAACCCCCGAGTAGCAAAATTGAACTCATTTCCGTTAATATTTTAAGAAGTTATAAATTTTTCATATTTTAACTCTTCGAGATGCAATTTTAAAAATGCATTTTTCTTATGCACCAATGCAATTTTAATTTTTCATTGATCACATAGGGTCACAAACTTTCTGGACGCTCTAACGAATCGCCGTTTTTTATTGCTTTATTTCCTCGACTAGGATAAGTAATGTCCGTTTGTTTTCAAATTTAAGATTTTGTTTTTAACTCTACAATAATTATACAGCCCCACAAAAAAAAGTTCTGTACCAGAGACATGAGTACATAGATCTTGTGCGTATTTTTTGATGCTGAATCCGAATCCACAGGCCAAAAAGAAATGTGTTATGAATTTTTAAAAAACTGTGTCATTTGAGTAAAAATAAGCAAATGTATAAAAATGAGAAACAAAGAATATAAATTCGATTTGCAGTGTGCTGCCTCTTTCAAATACTTTTAGCAATTCCAGCAGATTTTAGAGCAAATAACAAAGTTTGCATGATCAAATTTATATTTCGAATCTTTTCGAGTTTATTATTTTTAAGTTATTTGAAAAATGGCATGTGACAGAAAAAACAAGATTTCCAAGCTATAAAAAAAATATGGGAATCACCCAGACAAATTAGCAAAATTTCAGATTTGATTTCAGGAAAGCCACTTTAATTGCAAATGAATCCCAATCGATAAAGAGCACTTTTTTATACAGGGTGTCTCATAATTAGTGTCCAATAATTTACCACTTGATTCTATTGCCAAAAATAAGAATATTTTTTCATATAAATATGGGACAAGAAATGCTTCCTAAGGGAGCTACGTCCCCTTGAATGGGGCCTCAAAAAATTAATTTTTTTAATATTTCCAAAATGGGTTGAATGAATTTTGACACCATGAATACTCATTAAAAGTTGAAATAGTTCATCATAAAATTTTTGAAAAATTTTAGTCAGGGGCATCTCATTTGGGGGGTCATCTGTTAAAATTTGCCCCTATTTTTTTGTTTATCGAAATTTTCAAATTCAGATGCCAACATATGATAGACCTTTATTTCCTCTACAAAAAGGGTACTCTTTATTTCCTTCGATAAGATGCTCCATTTCAGAGAAAAACGGATCCAAGCATTGCATTACATTACCTTCATAAAATAAAAAAAAAAAATTCTTGAATAACTAAAATGGGTACATGTACCATTATGAATTTTGATGTCATCATATCATTATACATTGTAATGAACAACGTGAAAAGTGCTTAGAAAAGCACACTTTGGAAAGGGTTATAACATATTTAAACCCATTTTTCTCGAAAATGGATAACTTTTTCGATATAAAACAACATTACCATTTTTTCACAGAAAACTCAGATTCATCAAATTTTACTGTTTAAATTTGAAAATGATTACATGAAAAATATTTGGGGCAAATTTTACCCGAGCCCCCCTATCCCCCTTTTGGGACGTACGTCACAAACTGTTCTAAGGACTTTCCACGTTGTTTATTACAATGTATAATGCTATGATGACCAATCAAAATTCATAATGGTAAATGTACCCATTTTAGCTATTCAAGAATTTTCTTTTGAATTTATTAAGGTAATGTAAAGAAATGCTTGGATCCATTTTTCTTGGAAACGGATTATTTTATCGAAAGAAATAAAGAGTACCATTTTTGGTTCTATTATATGTTGGCATCTGAATTTGAAAATTTCGATAAGCAAAAAAGTAAGGCCCCCCCAAATGAGACACCCCTGACTAAAATTTATCAAAAATTTATGAGTGTTCATGGTTCAAAATTCATAATTTTCCTTGAACCCGTTTTGGAAATATTAAAAAAATATATAAAATTTTTCAGGCTCCATTCAGGAGGAGTCTTAGGAAGTGTTTCTCGACCCATGTTTATATGAAAAAAATATTCTTATTTTTGGCAATAGAATCGAGTGATAAATTATTGGACACTAATTATGAGACACCCTGAATATACTAGTGGGATACTATAGACCTCGAGTGTTTTTAATTTTCGTATTTCAATTAAAATTTCTCAAAATTATATACACAGTATAGTCTTTTATACTATAATTTCGAACCACAATCAAATAATAGCCAATTGCGTTGTCCAATTTTTTTGAATTAACAAATCAGCTAAGAGAAAACGTTGTAAACTAGGCACAACATTTTTAGAAGTAGGAACTTTCATTATATTTAATTTCATTCTGTTGGTAAGTTGACAGTGCCAACAACAACCAATAGTAACTGCTAGTTGCTTACGTACTAGATCGTGGCGAAACTTCAATGCAAATATCGCACCTTATTGATGAACTAACTATAGGCTACGAACTCGGAATAAAATTATGTATTTATTTGTCTTTAGTTACTAAAAAAAAAATAGTTCTAATGCTAATGCTTTTAACATCCATGGACTATATCATTCATTTCAGTAATTCGGAATGAAATGGTTTGTACGTTTTTTTTGTTCAGGAAGACCAAAAATTACGAACGAAAATGATGAAATAACGTCTGTTAAATATTTTAAGCAAATATTTTGAAAATTAAAAAAAAAAAATGGGAAATGACTACATTAGCAGTAATTTACCAAGATAGTGGTAAACATAATAAACGATAAATTAATTTGTAAGAGTTTGTAATAGTACTTACTCTTTTCACCACAGTTGCACGATTTGCTGGAAGCGGATGGATAACAAGGCAAAATTGGAGGCGCATATGGCCGTTCACGAAGAATCCAAGAAATACGAGTGCACGGTGTGCAAGGAGCTATTCTGCAGTAAATACTTGTTGAAGCACCACATGTCTGAGCAGCATATTCCTCAAGATGTCGTGGAAAAAGAGAAACAAATAGTTCTGTCTAGTGCTTTGGAAGAATTCCTGTTGTGAAATCCTCTTATATCGCATATATCATAATTGTTAATGTAAGTTATAGTTTACTTTTAATAAAATTGTAAATAAACTATTTTATATTTAATAGCGTTCAAATTTTTTATGACATATGAAAAAAAGGAAGCAAAAATAGCAACAACACTTAATAGAAAAGTATACTAAAAGGCTGTCTGATCCTTATCGGGAATATTATCGTAGTCTATGAACCTGTGATGGTTCAGTAAGAACCTTCCATTGAATATTTTTCGGTATACAGGCTGTTACAAATTCACTTCTCACTACAGGAATCTTCAAAACGGTAAGAGATACAAACTGGCTTAAATGCGTAATCAGGAGACCAACATTATGCCTCTAAAAAATCAAGGCTAACGTGATTAGTTTTCGAAATTTTTGAAAAAAAGCGAAATTTTGGAAATCCGTTTTTGTTTCATTTAAGCTTTATTTGAGGTTATATTGAAAAAAGAAGAACACTTTCTCACGGCCACTTTTTGCCCTCTATCGAATGGCATAATCAATTTTTGTATGTAACGTTTCGTCTCTCCAGGACCATCATCAACTTCATTTTTTTAAATACCACACTGGAAATTTTTTTACATTTTTTGCAAGCCTTCATGACCTCCAATACTGTACTGCCTCAGCCCAAACCAGATTCAGATGTTTTGTCTCGAAAAATTCATCTTCAGTGTATTCGTTCCAAATTTATCTCAATTTTTTATTTAGATTTCTTTGTTTATTGTATTATCGCACACTGTAAGTGTCGTTAGACCCTGTGAATTCCATCTGGTTATTTAAACTATTACCACCACACATTAAAATAAAACATTCTTAGAGTTTTATTCCCGTGTCCATAGTTATTTCTAAGCTTATCGAGTGCTCAAAATTCAAACAAATTCCGATCTATTTTTTTCAGGATATTCATACAAACACATCTGACATGCTCTTTCACAGTTGCGGTTACAGATATGATAAATTCAGATAATATTACGCTGATCTGCATTTTCAATCTTTGCCAAAACGAAAATGTTTTAGAACATTTACTGAAATTTTTTAAAGAATAATATTCAGTTGGCGTTTTGGTTGTTCATATGCATTTTTAAAAATTAATTTGTTATAGTAAAATTAAAATTGTAATTTTAGTTTTGACCAACAACTTATTGAGTCATGTTTGACCAATTGATGGTAAAAGTTAATAATAATAAATGTTTTATTGTAACGCATGGTGGTAATAGTTTAAAAAACTAGATGAATTTCACGGGGTCTAACGACACTTACAGTGTACGATAATTCAATAAACATAGAAATCTAAATAAAAAATTTAGATAAAATTGGAACGAATACACTGAAGATGAATTTTTCGAGACAAAACGTCTGAATCTGGTTCGAGCTGAGGCAGTACAGTATTGGGGGTCATGAAGGCTTGCAAAAAATGTAATAAAAATTTCTAGTCGTATTTAAAAAAATTAAGTTGATGGTCCTGGAGAGGCGAAACTTTACATATAAAAATTGATTATGCCATTCGATAGAGGGCAAAAAGTGGCCATGAGAAAGTGTTCTTTTTTCAATATCACCTCAAACAAGGCTGAAATTAAACAAAAACGGATTTACAAATTTTCGTTTTTTTCTTCAAATATTTCGAAAATTAATCATGTAAGCTTTGATTTTTTAGAGGCATAATGTTGGTCCCCTGATTATGCAACCGTTTCCAAAATGGAAACCCGGTGAGACCCTTTGTACAGGACAAAGCTAATATGTGCTTTTATGTGCAAGACATTTAATTCTATCTGTAACACTTGCGATATAAACGATTGTTCGGTTAAAATGTTATGTATGAGTATAGTAAACCATGATCGTAATTGACGTCTCTCTTTGCTTCAAGTTACATGTCTTAAGTTAAGTATATTCAATTAACTCCTTAACTTTACTGAACTTTTGTATCTTTCTTAATTTTTTTGTTTGTTTTTTGTTCTTTTGATGTTATTGAGTTTTTTATGTTTATATTATGTTATTTCAATGTAATTTAGCTCTATAAATGGAATTACTTCTGTTGGGCTAATAAATTATTATTATTATAATTATTATTTATAATTATTAATATCATGCGAAACATCGCTTTAATGTTAAAAATGTTGTCACCGCCGTTCTTGTTGGTGAAAATTCGAAATATTTGGATTTATTCAAATTTCATGGCTAAAAACGTATTGAAATTTTTGAAACCGAGAGTTGCATGAAACTAAATTTGTACAGGACAGCTAATACAATGCGAAACATCGCCTTAATGTTAAAAATGTTGTCACCGCCGTTCTTGGGGGTGAATATTCAAAATACTTGAAATTATTCAAATTTCGTGGCTGAAAACATTCATAAATATTGTATTTTTGAAACATGGCACAAAAATGATTTTAGCAACGTGACAAAATGACAATTCTTATTTACTAATTGACGTGATTTAGTGTTTTTGTGAAAACGCAACACATAAAATACGAATTTTTTGTGGTACTTCTGGGACACACTGTATTTAAAAATATGAATCGATAGGTTTTTTTAATAGCTACAACTTTCTCATTTAACTATTTTCGATTGGAGTAATTTTTTTTTTTTATTACCAAAAAGTAGTTTTTTTGACTTTTATGAATTTTTTAGGTTAACTTCGCCGTTTATGCGCCACAGGAAAAAAATCTTTCTTAGACTTTTTTTTCCTATATCACCATATTTTTTGTTTCCAGGCGGTATTTTTTGTAAATTTAACATGAAGCCGTGACAGATTGATTGGACTATATTGTGCAATTTTCCATCGAGTTGTCCATTAAAACAATTGTAGAAATCACAGGAAATCGAGGGGAAAAAATAGAATGGGATAATGGTTTTGACTTACCTCTGTCAGTGAAACAGGAATAAATGAAAGTAACTTGAAACTTTATTAACATAACTCGGTTTTAAATTTAAAACAAATTATTAGTTATCCTTCACTTCAGTCTCTTGAAAAACACAATCACTCGTCCATTTCCGTTGATAAACCACCGACCTCCAGCAAACTATCATAAATTATCTCTTCCGGCTGTTCCTCATCGGGAATGTTACTGTGGTCCGTCAACTTATGATGGCTCAGCAAGAACTTCCTGTTGAACGTTTTCCCGCACAAGTCGCAGAAATGCTGCGGATTGTTGTGGCACTTGACGTGTTCGTCTAGGGCTTCTTTGGTTTTAAACTTTTTCCAGCACACGTTACACCTACAAAGGGAACCGTTAAGTAAAATACCGACTACAATAGAAAAACACTGCGCTTGCCTGGAGAAGTTGACCGTACCGCCCCGATGAATCTCCTCGTGTCTCTTGCAGAGGATGTTGCGGGGGAACGTTAACGGGCAGAACTGACACGGGTACCTCTTCAGGTGCGTTTCCAGGTGACGCTTCAACCTTATGATGTCTTTGTACCACTGCCCGCAGAATTTACAGGGCACGGGTTCGCCTGCAATAAATCACCGTCATTTATTTCCGAGGCGTTCCTCAATGAAATTAAAGATAACTCAGGGTGGGTTATGGCCCACAGTCAACCAAAATTTTTAGAAATGAAAAAAAAAGTTAAGAAAAATTGAAACTTCGTTAAAATCTAGAATATACATGGTTCCAGCCACTATGTTTAGTGACTGGAATATACAGGGTGGCCAAATGAAAACAAAACAGCCATTTTCAGGAACTGCGTCAAGATTGTAGAAAAACGCTCAGACCCGTCGATTTTAGATTAAAGAGGGACATTCTTTGCTGGTATTTTTGACTCCGCCACTTTCACCCCCAAGCAAGGGTAAGCATCACCCCAAAATATTTAAATGGCATTGGGGGTTGAGTAATATTTCTTTTGAAAGCTCTTACAATTCTCTTTACAACAGACTTTAAATTTTATAATTCCGCCCAATACTTTGAAAAAAATTTACATTTTAAAATTTAAATTATGTTTAGTTGCTTACTTACTACTTAGTTGATTAAATGTTCAAACTGATGACCGCCCGCTTCCATACAAGAATAAAGATTTTGTTCGAAACGTTCGCGCACATTCCGAAGCATTTCCGGAGTGATTCGACGGCATTCGTCGACGATTCTTTGACGCAAATCTTCCAGCGACGCTGGCTGTGTTTTATAGATTTTACTTTTTAGGTATCCCCACAAAAAGAAATCAAGGGGCGATAAATCCGGTGATCGTGGAGGCCACTCAATGCTGCCTCTTCTCCCAATCCAATTCCGTAGAAAACGTTGGTCCAAATACTGACGGACAATTAACGCATAATGCGGAGGAGCACCGTCCTGTTGAAAAATCAAATGATCTTCATCATACTCTGGAACATTTTCAATAATATCAGTCAAGGCAGGGTCAATAGCGTCTTCCAGTAATTGCAAATACATTTGGCCAGTCAAATTACCAGGTAGAAAAAAAGGACCCACCAGCCGGTCACCGAAAATTCCAGCCCATACATTTAATTTTTCCGGTTGCTGTGTATGCACCTCGTGAAAAACTCTTGGGTTTGAATCGGACCAATAGCGGCAATTGTGACGATTTACCGTCCCGTTCAAGAAAAAACTGCATTCATCAGAAAAACAGATGTTAAAAAGGAACTGTGGATCGTTCCCTGCTCGCTCACTCATTATTTCGCAAAATTGCAAACGGCGGTCATAATCATCCTCATGAAGTTCCTGGACTAAATGTATTTTGTATGGATGGAATTTATTCTTCTTCAAAATGGTTTGTATGCTAGTTCGATTGATCCCAGACACAGATGCCAGCTGCCTCGTACTTAATGTAGGATCAAGATGAACTTGTCCCAAAACTGCAACTTCACTAGCTTCATTAACTATAGGTTTTTCAATTTCTCGTTTTTTATTGGCTACGTTCCCTGTCTCTTGAAATTTTTTTACTAACTCTAGAACATACTTCCTCCTGACATGTCGATCTTGATGTTGTTCATTAAATAGCTGAGCTGTTCTATTCGCACATTTATTGTTCATAAAGTAAAGCGAAATGATATCTACCCTTTCCGCAATGGAATAAACCATAGTGTTTAATTTTCAAAAACACAATTAAATAAACTACCAACCAACGCTTCCAAATAATACTAGAAAATAATTTGGAATCCACTAATTTTACGTTCGTTGTGTGTGTATAGCATTCATTTCTGTTTTTTACAATTGTTTTTTTACGAAAGTGATAACAAATCACCAAAAACCAATGTAACGCAAGAAATACTAAATTTATACCATTGGCGTACTTAACTCGAATGACTGACATTTTTATCATTACTAATTTGTTTGTACATAAATTTCAACTCTAAAATCAAAATTCTTATTAAGTATTGGGCGGAATTATAAAATTTAAAGTCCAGCAAAGAATGTCCCCCTTTAATCTAAAATCGACGGGTCTGAGCGTTTTTCTACAATCTTGACGCAGTTCCTGAAAATTGCTCGTTTTGTTTTTATTTGCCACCCTCTATATACACAGTATGTTTACCAATCTGGAGAACTAGGAAAACTGGAATTATCAGGGAATTTCATAGATCTGGAGATATCAGAGAACTCCTATAATTCTCATAGAATTTTTTAACATAACAATTATAATAGATCTTTGTTTACGATGTACTGCCACTGGATGTCATAAAGTTTTTTATACTACAAAAAACCGGTCTAATACTGTGACCTTAGGGGACCTAACAATTTACCTGTATCATAAATTATACGCCGCTTCCTTGTGTTCTTTGCTTTCCTCTTCTCGGATTGCCGTTTGCTAACGATTCTCGGCTCGCCTGCGTGACGTAACCTGTGGTTGTGCAAGTAGTCGGACCGACCAAATTTCTTATTGCAAATGTTACACTCGAAAGGCTTTTCTTTGAAGTGGACCAATCTAGTGGGAAAAGTGTCAATGTTAACATCCTTAATTTCCAAATTAAAGACAAGTCAATGTTTAACAACAACTAACGTACATAAGCTGGTCTTAACGACAAGACTGAACGGAATTCAAGGAGTATTGGTACTAAGAACAAAGTTAGAGCTTTGAATATGGGAAAAATCAAAAAATTATCTACATTAATCTACATGAGTATGGTTAGAGAAATATGTAGAAAATTTTTAAAAACATTATTTTTTGTTCGATTGGCGATCATTTGATGTAGAGTTAAATTTTTCACAAAAAAAGAGACAATCACTTGCCAATAAATAATGTTTAAATCGACTTTGGAATGTTATTTTAAAGATATGGTCAAAATATGGACCGAATAGAATAAAAATTGTTGGAATTATGCTGCAAGATCGAGACAAATGTCAGTAAAAATGTCAAAACCAATTTCATACTTTGACGTGTTTGCGAGCGTTTTGGACCGTTTCTTATTGTCTGGCGCATATTATTGTGAAACTTTATAGTGGAAAAATTGAATTTTCAAAATTATTAATTGCAGTTTTTCCTATAAATATGTATAATCTGTTAACCAGATCTCTTTTGAAACTTTATATAAGGTATATTTCTCAAAATCAAACGGGGTTCGAATTATTGTCGGAACTGAGTATATTTACTTTTTTCTACTTTATTTATCGACAATTTTCATCAAAAAATTGTACAACTACCGCAAGCACGAGCAAAAAAATACAACCTTTCTAGTAAAGTTGAAGAACGTGATGTTTTTATTAAAAGACTTCAGAACCAAGAACTTTTGTACATTTACATCAGCAATTCCGTCACATTCCATTATTATAGCAGTGTTTTATTTAAATGAGACCTCAACTATTCTGGATGCTAATTGATCAATCAACTGTTAATTCCAACTACTCTGACTTGTAGATGACAAATAATCTACAAGATGTGCTGTAATGCTTAATGGCACAAAAGATTGCTTTGTACATACTGACAGAGAGTGACCTACTGATCTGTAGGTACCATGAAAGCAATACTAGAGTCCAACTAAGTGAAATAAAAATATCAATTAACGATATTGCAGGGAAACCAACTACTCTGTGGACTAAAGCCTATAGTAGGATCATATTCGATGCAAAGTAATAATTCATTGCCTGTCAAGGGATCCAGTGCGATACGGTTTTAAGGGGTTTACAAATTGAATAATTTCTTTATGTATTATGAACGGATGAAGGGATCAGTTCACGTCTGGCACCCTCGTTCCTACAAAAATTCCTTTATTCTCATAAACTATTTATTTTAAAGTCAACATATGTACTACATTTTACTTCTGTACGCGCCACTGTTGTTTACTTGTTTTTCAGAGGCACTCTCCGATTTACGACCAAGCTCGCCAGGTTAGTATTTGACGTATAACCAACCACTTCATACACTCGATGCACCTGGGCGACTACAGCTACTACCAGAACACAGTGCATATACAGCAGTTATTTCATATTTTATATTCAATTTCATTTTAAATTTGAAATGGCTCCTAAAAATGATGACACGATTTTCCTTTGATAAAAGACTAACAATTTTTTGCTCTACTTTGCATCGAATATGATCCTACTATAGACCAACATTGAATTATACCTGCCATATCTAGCAAACACTTAAGATCAATTGTCACCAGGCATAGTCCGGTTGCAAACTTATTCATTCTTATCTCTATGACGCGCTGGGATGGCTGATAAATGTTCTAGTGATTTGGATGTATCATCATATTATAAGTGAGGGCAAAATATAAACTTTATAAAAGATGTATAAACATGGTATTGCCTCAAAGTTGAGGATGTTATTAATTGTATGCATTGTAGAACTTATAAAATTATTAATTTTGAAAAAAATTGCTAAATAATAAAGATACGGATAAAAATCATATATCTTAGTATGGTCCTGGTCTCCTCTTTTCATGGTTGTACTTGCAAATTTACCAGAAAAGATCAATAAGAGTACCGATAAATAATATTTTCCTCGATAGAGGTTTTTTGTTCAGTATGATGCTTTTCATTTACGGAGAATATTGACAAAGTGCAGATGCAGCACCTCGTTTATATGCAGGATGAAATCACCTAATACTGCGAGTGTCTGTTAACTTAGTTCTAAGACATTTATAATAGCAAGTAATTTCAAAAACTTTTGAAGAGTTTATCGCAATGGAGAAGTGAATAAAGTGGAATAATTTAGGTGGCGAATAAGAAAAATGAGTGATAAGCTGTTCAGCAAGATTTTGTGATCACATTAACAAGCATAGGCAATTTTATTTCTTTTCGTTATTTCGCATATTTTATATATTTATATTGTATTTGGTAAAATTATCAAATTTTATGAGTTGTATGTCATATAAAAAAAAAATTGCCTCAACTTCGAGAATATTCATCATTGTGTACCTCTTTTCTGCACAAAATGAATGATTACCAAGAAATTACAAAATACGGATTCAATATTATACCAAATCTTTTAAAAAGATGGGAACAACCCTCTCGACAAAATTACATTCTATTTCCGATCACCAAACAAATATTTCTCACCTCATGTGCATCTGAAGTGCTGCCTCGTTCTTACTGAAAATGCCGCATATGGTACACTGCTTGCTGTAGACCTTATCGTGAACATATTTTACATGAATGTCTAGCAGTCTCCTAGTCTTAAACACTTTGGAGCACTTATCACAGATGTACGTTTGATCGCTTGCGTGACTCTTTAGGTGACATCGTAGGGTGCCGTAGTCCTTAAATCCTTTCCCGCACACCTCGCAGATGTAGCTGTTCGGATCGTTGTGGGTAAATCTGTGGGCTCTCAGCGAGTCTCTCTTTGCGAAACACTTGCCACAGGTTTCGCATACGTAAGGGGGGTGTATTTGGCAATGAGCCTCGTAATCTTTTCTTGTTGTAAAACTAAAAGAAAATACAATATCATGCAATCCAAATATTCTTGTATTATTTTGCTAGTAAAATACATATAAAAGTATAAATTTTCACATATCGTCTAAAGTTATTTATTTGTAACACAGTTTTTGCTTTTTTTCTAATTTATTGGGTACTTTGCAATTAAAAAATTGATTAAAGAAACTCTTGCGCCTAAAGAGTCCGATAAGTATTATTTTTGTCCAAAAATCTCACACTGAAAAGAGAAGACAAACACAAAAAGCACATTATACATTGCGTAATTTATATAGTTGTTAACGTTTTGAAAATCGATCTATTTTCGTTTTCTGAAGATATGACTTCACATACAGCATTAATGCAGCAAAATTTGGTCAGAGATTTTTAAGACAAATTTAAGGGACCCGTATTTTTTATTTTTGCCAAGTGGCCCCCTCTTTCGGAGTTACAGCCCCCTGAAATCCACCCCTAAGAGTAATATTTTTTTTATATCTCAGAACCTTGTTGCATGAGAATCACTAAATTTAGTACACAGGGGTACTATGACATATGGAATCTGATGCTACGCTTTTTGGCGGTGAACACCATTAAGACAATTTTTTGTAGGCCCCCTTGTTTTTGGAGCCAAAAAAATTTGGTCGCATTGTAATGATTGTCTTATTAGCTGTAGTGATGGTCTTATTACTTATCTTTGTATATAAGATTTATTTATTTTTGTCAGATCAGCTAGGGTCTCTGGTAGCTAAGGAAAATTATTGACAAAAAAAACAAGATTTTTGTATTAGCAGAAAAATAAACATAAAATTATTTTGAGGCCTCATCCTTTTCAAATTCAATTATATCAGCAAGAATTTAAAATATATTATTTATGTTGCGATAAAGTTGTTGGATAAATTTTATTGATAAATATATAATAATTTTTTAAATAAATGCATTTTACAGAAAATAAAATATAACCGGAAACAATACAGAATATACGATATAACTGCCATGTATCGATTAATTTGATCTTAAGGAAGATATTTCCGCACAACAGTTCGTTACTAAAACTAAGACGTTTGAACTACTCTATCAGATTTTTTAACACACTGCTAAAATTAAATTAACATTAATGGTAGTCATAAATAAGGACAATTTCTGACCATAAAAAAATAATCCAGGAGATTTAGGAATTTTTTCACTTCAGTTTTGTCGATTTTTAGTCGAAACTATGCCGAAGAAAATTTACGCTGTTATAAAGGAAAGTGGATTTTTTTTTTAATAAATACAAGTCAGTCAGATTTTTTAGTCAAGAAGTCACTGGTCAGAAATCAGTAGTCACTGAAATTATTATTTGAAAAGTTGAGGTGAATTTGTAAAAATATATTTTTTCCACACAAATATAAGTTCGCTTCTCTATCCAAGGACATCGAAAGTGCCAACTAGTGAATTTTCTGATTTAAAAGGTGTCCCAAGATTCACACAAGAAGTAATTTTGATAGAAAAGACATGTTTTTAATTAAAAAAAGCACCATTAACTGTCATTGTCTGACCAGCCGCTTTTGGTCCGATACAACACTTTACCGCACAACGAATTTAAACATAAATAAAAAAAAATAAATTTAAGTAGTTTTCACTTACCTTTCCATGCAGGTTGAACATTTACGTGTTTCCTTAACATCGGCTTCCTCGTCGTAACTCTCATATTCCTCGGCAAGCGTTTGTTCATTCAACTCTTCCTCTTCGCTTTTCGGAAGCCACTTTGCCACCGTCTCGTACTGAATCTCAACATCATTTTCAACATATGACACGTTTCCATACTGCAACGTCATACTATCTCCTTCGCTGACCTCATCTAACTCTTGGTCCAATATAGTGACGTTCTTTATATCAGCGGGATCTTCAACCGACATATTGTCACCCACGGAAACGGTGTTGCCGCAATAATCATGTTCAGTATCGACTTCTGCACTTTCAATTTCCTCCACATTTTCACATTTTTCTATTAATGACGTGTCTGAAATTGGAAAAAGTTTAAATTTTCTAAGTGTGATATGAAAACAAGGAAAATTACAATATTACCCTCATTACAATGCACTTCTTCCTTCTCCTTCATAAGCAGAGCATCTACTTCTAAACACTTTATAATAAACTTCATTGTAGACATCAAAATTTTCAAACAATTCGTGCACACCACCTCATCGTCGTTCAGTTTCATTTCCTAGAAAATATTAGTGAATATCGAGGTAAAATTGTACTAGGACTAGGTTTGTATTAGAAAAAAAATTTACCATTTCGGGAACCAAAAACGCTATTACATCCTTAATGGTTTTATTTAGAAACATGTTTTCCGTGACCCACGTACTTGTGTCTTTTTTAGTAACATTTAAGCAAGTCCTGCAATGATATTCTTCTTCTTCTGCTTCTTTAATCACGGAATGATCGTGAGAATCGATATTTTCTTAAAAAAAATTGAAAAAAAATCAATGCGACACCTCCAGAAATCGGCATATGTTTTACGAAAAATATGATAATAGGCAACTTACCTTTATGGCTTTCGCTGTTTGTCTCTTCACAGACTTCTGTAATATACTCAGGAAATTGGGATGAATGGGTAAGACTGGCAGAACAATTACTACTTTCGTCTGTGTGTTTAGATGGCATGGTTATATGAACAATGTTTGCGTCTGACATGTCTAATGAAGGCTCTGGCTCACCTGTAACAAAAAATACAAAATTATATTTAATAATTAAGAAGGGAAATTCATCTCTATACATTTTTTACAGTATTTTAAAAGTTCAGAAAATTTTGTGGCAATTCATAATTTACTTAGAAATAGAAAAATTATGTGTCACAAAAATAATAATTTCTCCCGGAGAAGCTTTCTGCAAATTGTTAGAAGTAACAGACATAAATAATTATATATTTTATTATTTAGCATAAAAAATGATATTTCTCATCAGAAAACAATATATCAGGTGAAATTTTTTGTTTTCTTTTGTTCCTAAAGATTGCTGAAAAAAAATAAGGCAAAATAAAATTAAAAAATATGGATTTTATACAGGCTGTTACAAATTTGCTTCTCACTACAGGGATCTCGGAAATGGTAAGAGGTACGAAGTAGCTTCAATGGGGGCAAAGTTACGTTGGAAATCTGTTTTCTTCCTTTCAGCCTTGTTTGAGGTGATATTGAAAAAAGAAGAACACTTTCTCATTGGTCACTTTTTGCCCTCTATCGAATGGCATAATCAATTTTTATATGTAATGTTTCGTCTCTCCAGGACCATCATCATTTTTTTATATACGACCATGGAAATTTTATTACATTTTTTGGAAGCCGTCATGACCCCCAATACTGTACTACCTCAGCCCGAACCAGATTCAGACATTTTGTCTCAAAAAATTCATCTTCAGTGTATTCGTTCCACATTTATCTAAATTTTTTATTTGGATTTCTTTGTCTATTAAATTATCGTACACTATAAGTGTCGTTAGACCCTGTGAAATCCATCTAGTTATTTAAACTATTACCACCACTCATTAAAATAAAACATTATTAGAGTTTTATTCCCATGTCCATAGTTATTTGTAGGCTTCTCGAGTGCTCAAAATTCAAACAAATTCCGATCTATTATTTTCAGGATATTCATACAAATATATCTGACATGCTCTTTCACAATTGCGGTTACAGATATTATAAATTCCGATAATATTTCGCTGATCTTCATTTTCAACCTTTGCCAAAACGAAAATGTTTTTATTAATTTAATTTACTGAATTTTTTCAAAGAATAATATTCAGTTGGCGTTTTGGTTGTTCATATGCATTTTTTAGAATTAATTTGTCATAATAAAATTAAAATTGTAATAATGTTGTAATTTTGACGCAACAACTTATTGAGTTATGACCAAGTGATGGNATATCAGGTGAAATTTTTTGTTTTCTTTTGTTCCTAAAGATTGCTGAAAAAAAATAAGGCAAAATAAAATTAAAAAATATGGATTTTATACAGGCTGTTACAAATTTGCTTCTCACTACAGGGATCTCGGAAATGGTAAGAGGTACGAAGTAGCTTAAATGGGGGCAAAGTTATGTAATCAGGGGACCAACATTATGCCTCTAAAAAATCAAGGCATGTTTTCGAAATATTTGAAAAAAAACGAAATTTTAGAAATCCGTTTTCTTCCTTTCAGCCTTGTTTGAGGTGATATTGAGAAAAGAAGAACACTTTCTCATGGCCACTTTTTGCCCTCTATCGAATGGCATAATCAATTTTTATATGTAATGTTTCGTCTCTCCAGGACCATCATCAACTTCATTTTCTTAAATACGACCATGGAAATTTTATTACATTTTTTGGAAGCCTTCGTGACCCCCAATACTGTACTGTCTTAGCCCGAACCAGATTTGACGTTTTGTCTCGAAAAATTCATCTTCAATGTATTCGTTCCAAATTTATCTAAATTTTTTATTTAGATTTCTTTGTCTATTGAATTATCGTACACTCTAAGTGTCGTTAGACCCTGTGAAATCCATCTAGTTATTTAAACTATTACCACCACGCATTAAAATAAAAAATTAATAGTTTTATTCCCGTGTCCATTTCTAGGCTTCTCAAGTGCTCAAAATTCAAACAAACTCCGATCTATTTTTTTCAGGGTATTCATAGAAATACATCTGATATGCTCTTTCACAGTTGCGGTTACAAATATAATAAATTCCGATAATATTATGCTGATCTTCAATTTCAACCTTTGCCAAAACAAAAATGTTTTTAAACATTTACTGAATTTTTTTAAAGAACAATATTCAGTTGACGTTTTCGTTGTTCATATATTTTTAAGAATTAATTTGTCATAATAAAATTAAAATTGTAATAATGTTGTAATTTTGACACAACTTATTGAGTTGTGTATGACCAAGTGATGGTAATAGTTAATAATAATAAATGTTTTATTGTAATTCGTGGTGGTAATAGTTTAAATAACTAGATGGAATTCACAGGGACTAACGACACTTACAGTGTCAATAAACAAAGAAATCTAAATAAAAAATTGAAATAAATTTGGAACGAATACACTGAAGATGAATTTTTCGGGACAAAACGTCTTAATTTGGTTCTGGCTGAGGCAGTACAGTATTGGGGGTCATGAAGACTTGCAAAAAATGTAATAAAATTTCTAGGGTCGTTTTTAAAAAAATGAAGTTAATGATGGTCCTGGAGAGATGAAACGTTACATATAAAAATTGATTATGCCATTCAATATAGGGCAAAAAGTGGCCATGAGAAAGTGTTCTTCTTTTTTCAATGTCACCTCAAACAAGGTTGAAATTAAACAAAAACGGATTCCAAAATTTCGTTTTTTTTTTCAAATATTTCGAAAACTAATCACATTAACCTTGATATTTTAGAGGCATAATGTTGGTCCCCTGATTACGCAACTTTGCCCCCATTTAAGCTATTTCGTACCTCTTACCGTTTCCGAGATCCCTGTGGTGAGAAGCGAATTTGTAACAGCTTGTATACTGACTTAACGTTAGTTACCAGGAGCAAAAATATCAGAAAATTTGATGTCGATGTACAAAACGGATAGGCAACATAAAAATATTCAAATGTATTCCCAAATTTTGGTTTAAAATAACAACTTTTCGGAGAGCCAAGATCAGTTTATAGTTCGTGCACAGTCAAAGAACGATATTCTTCAATCATAAATTGCACACGCTTCATATTTTCCGGTGTTATTGTGCTCAAAGTTTAGCCAGAACGCGGGTGACTGTCAACAGACGTGTGGCCATTTCTAAACCACTAGTACCACTCTTTTATCTGTGTTTTGCCTATACACTTATCTCCAAAGGCCTCCTGTACCATTTCAATAGTTTCCGCACAACTCTTTTCGAGTTTAAAGCACATCGTTGGTCACATGTCTCCATCATTTTCCGCTATAACAAAATTCATGAATGCAAAAAAGGTACTGTAAACAAATAAATGCTGCGTGCGAATTAACACGTCCCATTGGTAACTACAGCAGTGGTATTTCTTTTCCATCAATGTGAAATACAAATATGTAGTTGTCCTAATTTTTTCATTTAGTCTTCATCAGTTATTAAAAAAGTTGTAATTCCTGCTGAATTTGTTGAATGTTGATCAACTACTTGCATGTTCTACTTTAACAAATTTATTTTGTGGTTAAAATAGTCAGAGTATATTTAAATGTAATAAAACTCATTTAATAAATACCTGTCCGTTTCTCTCCTATTTCTTCTAAAAAAATTATTTGTTAGTTTAGTACATATAAATTGTTTAGTTATTTTATGTATGTATTTTCAGTGGAAATAAAATAGTTTTGTCCAATCAAAAGGTATATTTTGCTTTTATAAAATATTTTTGCATTTATGCTAAATTTTGTACTTTTTCTGAAAAAAGATATGGTCATCGTATGTGTAATGGCTAAATACCTAAATTATGTAGATACCTATATCATACCTTCGTTAGGTAAATTTAAATCTGGCACTGCACCAAATATCAAATTAGATCTATTGCGATTTGCTGGAAATTTTTGATTATCTGAGAAATGTATATCACACACTCGATAAGCTTTAACATTTCTTAAGCAAAGGTCTCTTCTACCAAGTGCTTGGGCCCATACTTGGAATATCTGTAAAGAATAACAAGTCATACTTACTTTTACCCACTGTGTAATTAAAAAATCATTGCGAAAATTACAATTTAAATTTTTATGGTAATTACAATATTATGAACGTTAGGTTAGTAAATACATATATATACCTCTGGATGTTTAGGAAACACGTGCATTTTTTGTGTTTTGTGATCGTTATTACAGTCCTTTACCACACACTTGAACACCATTTTTATAAACAATAGTTCAACATCAAAATTAAACCAAACACCAAAAAATAACTACTAACCTAACATTCGAACACGATACGGTACGGCATAAAAAAAATGGCGTTGATTGTTTTGTTTGATAGAGTGGATTGAATAAAAACTTACCTTTTCATCTTTTGGAAATCTGTGCATAGAGACAGCATCTCCTTTTGAAGTACAAAAAGGCACACAACAGTAAAACATTTTTTGTCTAAAAGCAACATAAATCACAATATAAAACACCGCACACGATCAAATCAAAACACAACTGCTAGGTTAAGAAACAAATACAGGGTGATTCATTAAAAATGGGAAATTTCTTAACTGGATATTACACACCCAAATAATTATATGATTGAGCTTAATTTGTTATACAAATGATATAGGTTTGCGAGATACAGGGTGTATAATGTTGGAATTTTAATTTGGAATTTCTCAATAGGTAATTTTGGAATTTTTAGCAGAATTAACTCGAAATTTGGTAGTTGTTTTTTGTTTTTACACAGGAAATGTACTTGTTTAATTCATCTAACTTTATCGGTTTTTGAGTTATTTACATTTTAAACATTTAATGTATTTTGCTTTAAAAAAATGTTTATTCTTTAAAATTACAAGTGTACGGAGTAACAATAACATTGACAAGTAATAATAAAAATCAGTAACAGTAATAAAAAAAACTTCAGAGTAAATCCTCAACTTGTTCGTCCTCCACCTCAGTAGACTTTGCCATGGCTTTCTTAGAGCTTTGGATATTAAATAAATTTTGTCGATTATTTTTAATGGCATTCATGGCTTCTTGAATTTTTTGTCGTAACTCTTCGACGGAATTA